AAAAAAAAAAAAAAAAAAAAAAAAAAAAAAAAAAAAAAAAAAAAAAAAAAAACAAAACAAAACAAAAAAACGAAGTCTGTTTTCAGGATGGAGCTCACTTGGTAGGGGCAAACCTAGTGAGCACAACGTCCTGGGTTCCTTCCCCGGTGCTTCATAAAGCCAAGTGTGGAGCCTCATTCTTATCCTCTCAGCTCAGGAGGAGCAGTCTGTGGCCATCCTGGGCTGCAATAACCCAAGACCAGCCCGGCTATGTGAGACCTTGTCTCAGAAGAGAAAGAGTTTGGGGCTGGAGAGGCAGCTCAGCAGTTAAGAGCCCTTGCTTTTGCTTTTGCAGAGCACCGGGGTTCAGTTCCCAGCACCCGCAAGGTGGTTCACAACCATCCTTAATCCATTTCCAGAGGATCCGGTGATGGGGATCCCGTGATCTCTCCTGACCTCCACAGACACCAGGCGTGCCTGGGGAACACGTATGTACGTGCAGGCAAAACACAGATATAAAAGAAATAGATCTAAAAAATTAATTAAAGTTTCTTTTAGGTTTATAAATTCTTTGTGATTTTATTTTTATATACCTATATATATAGCATGTAGTGTCCGAGGAGGCCAGAGAGTGTTGGAACCCCTGGAGTAACTCCGACGAGTTACAGGCAGTTGTGAGTTGCCTGCTGGGGCACTGGGCACAGAACCCAGGTCCTCTGCAGGAGCTGAGCTGTCTCTGCAGTGCCCCCCATATACAAACCTGAGCCTCTGATACCCTCTCTCTCATTTGTTTGTTTTGTTTTGGTGTGTGTGTGTGTGTGTGTGTGTGTGTGTGTGTGTGTGTGTTTTCCTGAGACAGGGTTTCTCTGTAGCCCTGACTGTCCTGGAACTCACTCTGTAGATCAGGCTGGCTTTGAACTCAGAGATACACCTGCCCCTGCCTCAAGTGCTGGGATGAAAGATGTGCGCCACCACTGTCCAGCATGAGACCTTATCTTTAAAAAATAAAAATCACAAGACTTGGGGGTTTTTGTCAGTGGTAAAATGCTTGCACAGCTCACCAAGGATAAGGCCCTAGGTGTTCAGTTCTCAGTGTGCGCTTGTGTGTGTGTGTGTGTGTGTGTATGCGCACACACACGAAGGCGCACAGACACAGTGCTTTAATAATTATATGTGCTGTATTATTGAGTGTATTGCCAACAGGATAAACTTGTTTCCATTGGTGCCAGTATGCAATGGAATTCTCTGCATGGCTGATGATTGGAAAATTTTTCTTCAGACCATATTCTGGCTTTGGGTTTGCTAAAACCTTGGCTCTCCTCCAGCCCCACAGACTTCCAGTCCTAGGTGCTGTCAGACACGTTTAATCCCCTAACGTGACCTAGATGTGTACATACAGGCCACAACCCCTGGTGATTCACATGATGGGTGGGTGTGAGAACACAGGAAAGTGTTTCTACATACGTGTGCTGAGTAGCCAGTGCCTGTGACTAGACATTGTATTAATAGCCCCAAATGGGTCGGGGGAGGGGTTCCAGTTCGGCTTACCTTCTCTGGATGCCAAAAATGCCCGTGGCCACTGCTGTGCCCTTAGACACGGGAGGAATGTGAGCGAGGGGAATATGTTTCATCACCAACCACCATGAAAGGGCAGTTTCCAAAGTCTCACAAACCCGTGACTTTTGGACCCTTGCTAGACTCTTGGAAAGTTCTCAGACAGTAAAGCTCTCAAAACTGGAGCCTGACCAGCTACTCGGGAAGCTGGGTTTGCCCTTCACGGATGTGTACTGAGTATTGTTTAAATGCAGA